ATTCAAATATTTCTGCATAATCAATTTATGGGTGAAAATACTACTGAGGTGCAAGCTGTACCCATAAAGTAGGTTAATCTAATCCCCATTCTTCCATCCAATATGAAAGTTATAGCTATAAAAATACCCTTTTGCAAAAAAGAAAGGCAAGTGTTTGTTGGAGATAAGTCAGTATATAATGTAGCATTTAGGAAAAAGGGCAATGCGGTTAGGAACAATAATATATGTTGGGTGGCCTCATGGAACTAAATTGTATAAATATTTTGAGGAAGAATGATTTGTGTGACTGGCAGAGTGCTTAGGAATGTTTGATCTCCAAGCACAAATTGACTTTGAATCTTAAAATTTCTAGTCCCAGACAAGATATAGAGAGATAATCTGATATTTTCTTTTTATAAAATAGCAAATAATAAAAGTGCTTGCCTAAAGAAGAATTGAAAAAATAACTCACATATTTGAAAAGCTTCAGGAATTGAAATTTCACAGATGCTCCCAAATGTATCTGTCTACTTAATCAACAAATGTGATGTAAGCACCTACCTTGTGACCTGCTCGATTATGGGTGTTTGGAGTGGCAAGTGATAAGATGAGGTCACTCATCTTCAGAAACTCTTAATGTAGTCCCATGTTTTCCCTTTCAAAACATAAAGGTTCTTCTTCTATAACTCCCCGAGTAATTATGGTAAAGCAATTGCTTAGTATCTTAGTAATGGAGTCGATGATCCTTAAGACCCATTTTTTCCCCCTTGGAGAAAAAAGCTACACTACATTTCCCACTCTCCCACTCCATCCTCCTTTGGAATATGTATTCTTTTTATGGGCCATCCTATGCCAACCTCCATTCTCTCTTTACCCATATAGAAGCTGAATGGAGAAGACTTGTTGGAACTTGAGGAGAGCAGAGCAACAACATGGAAAGAGCCTGTCTTTAAATGACTGTGAAGCAGAGCCTCTCCCTATAAACCTGCCCAATCCTCATTAGACTCTAATGGGAACAACTAATATTTTTTATTGTTAAGATATATATGGGTGGTTGTCATGACTACTCTGAATAATATACCTTATGAAATTCCTTCATAATTATAAAGATGGTAATTAGCTAACAACTTCATTTTCAATTTTAGTGAAAATTGGGTTCCAGTCTCATCAGGTCCTCAATTACTTCTATTGTTCTTCACAGGATCACTCTCTGCTCTTCCTTCCTCCTTTTGATCCAAGACACCTCAACGTATCTCATGCTGTGCATTGGCAACCTTGTCCAGTTTCTCTATTTTAGAACTGGTTACCAGTAACCCCAATCCCAGCCTTTTGAAATTTGTTTCCCTCTGACTTTCAATCACTGAAATGTCTTCATTTTAAGATCACAATTCTTTATATCAGAATAAGGTGAGAAATTTAAATACAATCAGAAGATGACATCTGAAGGACCAAACACCATCATTTTCTTCTTTGTGAATTTGGAATTATGATATGATTTTTAAACCAGATTTACAGAATCACTTTGCTGATCATTTCTCTCATCCAAATATTTGGGGGATGCTTCAGTGGCAAATACACCTAGTATTGTGTTGTCTTTATTCTTGTTCTGACAGTATCAGGATACTCAGTTAAGAAGAGAGTTTAACCAATCAAAAATAATTCCTTTGGTACAACTGACTTTTTTAATCCTTGAAGTCTTTGTTAATACTGTTTGCTTTTTTCACTTTCTATTTTTTGCATCACAAAGTCCTATTTATTTATATTTTTTTCTTTTTTTTTTCTGTACTGTGAATTGAACCCAGGATACTCATCCTCTAATCTATACTTCTGATCCATTTTAAAATTTTTATTTTGAGACAGGGTTTCACTAAGTCACTGAGGGAAGGCACTGAGGCTAGCCTCAAACTTGGAATCCTCATACCTTAGCCTCAGGAGTTGCTGGGATTATAGGCATGTGCCACCACATCTGGCTAAATTTGCCATTTTATGAGAGGATCCATGTCACGACCCTAACTGCATCTCTCATCATCTCACAGTTGAAAAAGTGACAATAGCCTCCTAGCTAACCTCCCTGCCTCCATTCTCTCCCTTTACTTAAATTCTTCCTGCATCTGCTCTCAGATGAATGCTCCAAAAATTTTCTCAGCCTTTTAAAATATATACTTATATAGATTTCTGCTTTTACCAACTAAATGTGCTTTCTATCAGCTAAATAGAATTTGCTTATTCTTCCCAGAATCTTCACATGTGCTATTTTCTGCACTTGGGAAATTCCTGTTCTTCACCACTGTCTCCTCTATTCCAAACTCATCTCTTGCCCAAGTCAACAGTGAATTTCCTCACTTCACTTGTCTTCTCTGGATGTTCAATATTAATTTTCCTACACTGGAATGTGTTTTATGATGAATATGATGTATAAATTATTTGAAAACAATGATTGCAATTAAAAATTTCTACTATACTTTAGACACTGGCCAGTACACAATAGGCACTAACTAATAATTATAAATGTGGTTGAGAAAATAGCAGTAAACCTTTGGGGGAAAATACAGATAGGTGTAAGTGATTCCACAGTAAGTAAATGGAGCACTGAAAAACATGTTTAAATTGCTTGTGGCCAAATTCAGTTCTAAAAAAAGGCAACTTAGATATGAAAAGTTTGAACTGAATGATTTTTGTTTATCAAACTGTTCCATACATTTTTCAGAGAGCCTTAATGCTTAAAACTGTGACCTCCTATCAGACATCTTAAAACAAAAATGCATGAGTAATGGAGAAATTGGAGCCAGACAATTTTCAACATTAAATTCTCTCCCATAAAAGAGCATGACAATTGCAAGTGTTCAAACTTAACTGATCACGGTGGAACTATTTTCTTTCTTCACTTTAAGTCTGGTTTTATCAGTTCACTATCTCACCATGAAATATGAATATAAGGAGTAGAAAGATATATATGTGGAATAATTAGGGCATATCCTCTGGTCATCAATTTTCTGATTAGTTGTTTAAACAACTAATTTTTTAAAAATAAAATGCCCAAGGCAGTAAACATTTTAAACCAGTGATTCTATAGTCTTATATGCCTTTCAAATACCATGTGAGTGGAGAAGTCTCTTTCCCTTTCTTGCCAAAATATTCTTTCTCACACTTGCCATTTTCCCACCTGTTGCAAAAGTAATCCTTAGGATACAAATCATTTCCCTCTCCTTTTGAACTCTTTTATAAATTTCTCTTTCATAACTGAACTCTTGTTTTTACCTTGAATTGCCCCCTTTAAGCCCCACAATATTAACCATCCACCCTCAACCAAAATATCTACCTTTCACACCATGCGACCAGGTTGAAGCCTTACCAGAAGCCTGAAAGTTTCTCTGTGTTCATATTTTTGAATGAGTGTTTGAAAACAGAACAGATTTGGATCTAATTCAATTAAGGCTTAGAGGCAGTGAAGAAAGACATCTTTTCAGGGAACATCCAGATACATTTCAGAGTCTCCATGGTTAGATTGGAGCCCATACATTATCAAAACTGCCAGATTTCATATTTTGCAAAATTAAACCCATGTTTACATTGTACATCTCCTTGAGCATTGTTTATTCTCAGTGCAGTTTTCTTTTGCTATGTATTCATTGAGTTTATGCATTTCTCATTTGTGCCATCGTTTATGATGTTTTCAGGGTGTTTCACCTTAAAAAGTCAGTTTTAAAATGTATGTTTACACAATCACATAACAATAAATTCGTTATAATTGTCTTAGAACTAGTTGTACAAAGGGTCTTCATAGATTTCCAAAATCCATTTCAGTGAAATGCTGAAAAGAAAAATAAATTTCTTGGGCTGGGGATGTGGCTCAAGAGGTAGCGCGCTCGCCTGGCATGCGTGCGACCCGGGTTCGATCCTCAGCACCACATACAAAGATGTTGTGTCCACCGAAAACTAAAAGATAAATAAATATTAAAAATTCTCTCTCTCTCCCTCTCTCTCTCTTTAAAAAAATAAATAAATTTCCTCACTGTGAAAGCAACTGGAAGAATACATTATGTTCTAGACTAAATACTTATTATACCCTTATAGGTTTTATCTTTCAAAAATCTCATATGAAAATTAAATTTTGAATTGCCATCTAGAAATAAATTTTTATAGATAGAGTACACATTAGTTCCTGAAAATGGTAGAAAAGGTTTCTTGTCAAGTTCCCCAGCACAAGTGTGAATGCTCTGTTTTTGAGTACCTACTAGTAGTGAAAGGATACATTGTGGCCAGCCAACTCAAATTGCTACCCACGTTTAATCATTGTAAATAAAGGAAGCAGAGAGACCCATGTTATATTTTCAGAACTGGCATGCTCAATACAGAACTATTAGTTTAAAAATACCACTGAACATTCTATTTGAATTAATCTAGATTTCTGTGAAAAATAAAATAGTAAAAAGTACAATTGGCCACTTAAACATATACCACTCATTTCATGCAGATTATTAATTTGGTAATTACACATTGCATTAAAGAACAAATAGAGTAAATACAACTTTGTAACATTTGGAAAACAGTTCAGAATTGATAAATTTTCATTTTGAAATACCTATAGTTTTTACAGAAGCAAAATCTCCTTTCTCCGTGGAGAAAAATACATCTATGAAACACCTACATGTGTTGAACTGGACTTTTCAAAGGAACAACTAAATATCCCACTGTGAAGTGAACATGTATAACTGCTAAGCTTTCACATACTGTTGGTGCATAATACATTTTCTGAACAGCTGGATATAGAAAAGCAAGAAAGAAACAAGTAGGATGAACGAAACTCATGTATCACAGGGAATCAGTAATGGAAAGAGGTTGAGAGAAATCATCAAAGCATATTATCTAATGTTTTCTTATACATTGATGTTCACAATTACAAGGCCTAGGCAAATTCTTGATTTTTACATATTGTATACATTTGCCCTTTTTTATGTTTATCCAAGAACTTGATTTATGAACCATTTGCAAAATGCCCCAATCCAACTTGATAAAGGCATCTAGGTGGAGAGTACACCAAATTTGACTAATTGGAAAGCATACAAAGTAGTAATCCACAATAGATACTAAAATAGGGGCACATTACTTACAGCAAATATGGAATAGATTATTCACAGATATTTTGGGGTATGGTGCAGTCACAGTCACTGCATGAGGATGGACAAGTTTAGTCTATCAAATATACTCTTAGAAGCACCGGAAATAGAGATACTTCTGCAGGAACCTTGCACTCATGGCCAAGCAGACACAGTGTACATATAGAACAGTCTATTTCACAACCACTTGGCAGATGAGAATCTCTGCAATTGCTGCTCTACCATTAGTAAGCTCAAATCATTTAGCACTTCATCTGTGAATATTATTTCTTTTCAATTGCTGACACTTGCAGTCAATACATATTTAAATTCAAACTCCAATGATGCTGAAAATCAAGTAAGAAAATACCAATATCTTCATAAAGCTTATAGCAGGTCAAGAGAGCATTTGGAAAAAAGTCTAAATGTAAATTTGTTAGAAAACAGTAAAAGGTGTACTTCAAGATGGGTTTTCAAAGTTGTAAAACTTTTGAAATAAGCCAGAAAGCCGTAAGTGTTGTTCAAAATCATCCTAAAAACTCACACCCTGTCTATTCATTTGCTTAAGAAATGCACATTGTTTACCTACCTACCAGTTTGCCTACAGAAGATATGGCCTAACAAAACTAAAAGCTGTTATTATGAGTTGTTGATTTAGTCTATAGAAGTTGTCCATGGTGTTGGAGAGATTTTACATGTTTCAATCATGTTTTTTTTTTCCTCAACTGATCTTCCTTTACAAACAGTCTTCCAATTGGAGTTAGTCAACAAAATTTTCTTTATAATTTCTGATTTTTCAGTTACTCTATAAAAAGTTATCTTTTCCCCTTAAAGTTAGTTCAGAGTTTTCAAATTCACTTAGTCTTTAAGTTTTCCTTATTTCAAATACCATGTAAATGCTGAAATATTCATAAATATGGGGGAGATAGCTCACCTAATAAGGTTGCAGTCCATGTGGAATAATAAAACCTACGTGAAAACAACAAAGTTTTTAAATTTTTTTTAGGAAGAAATTAAAACTATACATTGGAACAAGGTGCCATACTACAAAAGCAAGTCTTTCCTTCCCCCCATTAGTCAGGAAATATAAACAAAAATATTTGAGTATAAAAGTGATTTCTGTGCCTTTTTATTCACTTTTTCAGCACCTCAATGTTCTTAGGTGTACTTTATGCTTGGTACAGCAGAAATTCTGTATGCTCAGATAGCTGTTTGGAGGATTTCATATTTTTCACTACCAAATATCGCTGGTGAAGCTAAGTTCTTTGGATGATAAAGGTAGCAGGGTATTGTTTCTAGGAAATTCCTGGGTGTCTTTCAGAGTGTTATTAAGGGGTAACTGTCCATTGAGTAGTGTCAGAGGCAAGTTACAGTAAGTATGGTGGTTGTCTAAGGAAGGTACTGGCAAGGTGGTGGTTGGCATCTCATGTTTATAGCCTCTGCAACAGTGCCTCATTTGCATTGAATCTGAATGGTGGAAATCAGGGAGATCAGCTTGAGATGATGCCAGAGTGGCAGATGTACTGGTCATGGCAATTGAGGGTATAGGCTGGAGTTCTCTGAAAAGTCCTTGTTCTGCAGAGTCTAGAACATGGCATCGAGAAAGCATTTCTTTTTTCTTGATAGGCATTTCATATAATAAATGCTTCCAAAACTTAGAATTTAATTTGCTGCTTTTGGGTCCCTTCCACTTGATCAGGGACAGAAGTTTGATGCTTCGCTTTAGGGATTCCATTTCCTGGCAATTCACCTTCCCTTTCAACTCTGTACACTCAATCAAAATCACTTTGATTTCTCCACTGACTAGCATGTTATGGAGTCTGCTTTCCAATTCGAAAATACTCCATCCCCGTCTGAGAATATAGTCTGGAGTTAGCACGATAATAAGTCTTCTGCTTTGCTCAACACATCTTGTGAGATCTTCAATGTATGCTACAAATCACAGAAAGAGAGAAAGAGTAAAACAAAGACATTGCCAGTCTTTAAAGCACCAGGTTTTCACTCTAGTATAGCACAGATCCAGTCTGTCACTAAAGTCCATTACATTTTCTTTTCTTGTATTGCACATTCCAAAACCCCTTTCCTTAAAAAATTAAGAAAATTAAAAAAATACTGCATAAATTCTTATTTTCTTTTGCCTTATTGTTACTTACAGTGTTTTGATAGCCAATACAAGCTCTGGCTTCTTCAGAGCTTAGGTATATTTCAGTGATTTTTATTTATTTAATCACTTAATTCAAAGCAGGCTTCCAGGCTAGTACTCTAAGTGAACAAGCAATGAACAGGTCAATAAAAATAGATTTGGAACCTTCTAATAAACGCAGGGTTACTGTATGTTTGTAGCTGTTTTTCTTCCTGTTTTCCCCTTGTAAATTAATACTATTTTTAATTGACAAATAATAATGGTATACATGACGCCTAGTTTTCATCTTCCTAACAAGTACTGGCACTATGTTTATCAAGTATTTGAGAGATAATTCTGATATAGAGATGATGAAAAAATCCTTTCTAGAATCAGCTTGTTTCTCAGAATACCTTCTGTCATTTGCAAACTTAGGTTTCCCTATTTTGTCCTTCATACCCAGATACAGGGAAGTGGTGTGTGCTTAATTTGAACCAGCTGTTTTTTGTTCCAAAGAGGAGTGAAAGGTAAACTTGGAGATGGGAGATGGAGTGGAATGAATGGTGAAAGAGGAGAAACAATCAACTGAGAAGTAAGTTTTGCGCTGTTTTGTGGAGCAATTCTGAAAGTGAGGTGAATGTGTTATGGCTTTTTTCATGGTAGAAAAACACAATAACTCTAGATTTGTTTATCCCAAGGAATAATCCTTTTGTAATCATGCTTCCCAAAGTATTATCTGCCAAAAAGGGAAACGCACACATGTGTTAACAAATGGAGACTTGGACACAGGTGCTGCACCAGAACACTGTCTTTACTAAGCAGAGCACAAGGCTTTGTCTAATGTACAGTGCCCTCTAGCAGAAGCAGTGCTTACAGAAGCATAGCAACATTTGTCGCTGCAAATTTGTCCAAGGTTACAGACTACTTTCACATTCAGCACATAGTGTGGGGACACCAAACAGCCCAGTACAAGCCATTTGAAAGAGACACTTATTTTACAGATGCATGTTTTACAGATGATCTTTCTTTTCCAGGGTTTTATTTCCACCACTTGGCAGCAAGAAAACTTTCACAAGTGAAAATGAGCAAATTTTCTACACACCCTACAGATAAACAAAAAAAAAAGTTTTTTAAAGAGATACACATAAAATTGCCTATTTAACAATTTGTTGTTAGGGCTGTTTAGGTTTTGACTTAATACATTTCAGGACTTTCTCATGCAGTAGATACAATGACTGTATCTGAGGGGATAAGGCAGTTGTTAGGTTGGGATGGAACCTCTTAAATATTATAAGTGTTTTATTTTAGGGATCACGTATTTTGGGGAAAATCAGCAGTGGAATCTGTAAAAACAAAACAACACAAAATAAAAATAACCACACAAGTAGCAATGGGGAAGTTTATCACTGAGTAATTATCACTTAGAGAACTGGTGAAACAGAATGGAAGGAAAGGTAGAGAGATTCAATAGAGTGGAAAAATATTATCCCACTGTATCAACAGCTCTGACTCTTCATTTTCTTCCTTTCTTTCTGCTCCCAAAAAGAAAGAAGTTATGTGGGAAGCTTCATCATTAGAAGTTGGATCTGTAAGATATAGTAAAATAAACTATCATGCATCTTTCCCATTTTTCTTTTCACCTTTCCTCCAAAACAAAACAAAACAAATTCCAAAACCAGAATCATGGTATCAGTGCAGTAGTCCAAGAGACTACAGTTTTCCCAGGTGAATTATGACTTAATTGTTAATTTTATAGAAATATTCTTTACAAAATAATTTCCCAATTGGTAACTTTGACTAGTACTCTTTCTCATTACTTTTAGCATGTAATTTAAATTAAAATAGTGTTCTGTACAAACCTTGTCAGGAGTCACATCAAATACACCTCTAGGAACAACATTATTTCTGTGTTCAAATATAATATAAATGTACTTTTTGACTATATGTTTAAAAACAAAAGCTAGCTGTGTACATGTCTCCATTAAAAAAAAAATTACAACCCAGGTATCTGCAGTCATAAGGGAAATTATACCTATATGTACTAATGAATTTGACTGTGATATCATGGGCTTTGGTTTTGCTAGATTCTTTTTTGGGGCATGGAGAAGGGAAAAGTGTAATATATATTTTACCATGTGTACAGTTCTCCTGCTTCAGATTTTTTTTTTTTTTGAACCAGAGATTGAGCTCAGGGTTTCTTAACCACTGAGCCACATTCCCAGTCCTTTTTAATATTTTATTTAAAGACAGGGTTTGCTGAGTTTCCTAGGGCCTCACTAAGTTGCTGAGGCTGGCTTTGAACTTGTGATCCTCCTGCCTCAGCCTCCCAAACCTCTGGGAATTCAGGCGTGCACCACCACGCCTGGCTCAGAATCTATTCTGACATTTGACAGGTAAAAATGCAACATTTAGGTTTCTTGGGGCTTCTTACAGACTCATTAGACATAATCTGCATTTGCCCCCAGAAAGAATGCCTGTCAGGACAGATCCCACTAAGCTCAGCTGTACAGGGTGTGGTGTTGAAGGGAACCTTGGAGAGAGGGAGTGGTCCTGTCTCCTGCATACTACACTGGCTGTGCTTATCCTGGCAAAGCCTAGTGGAGAGTTGAGGCAACCATCCAGATAACTTCGGCTGAAAACCTGCTGTGGAAGAAAAAAGTTCTGAATTATCCTGGTTTGCCCTATATATACATTAATCATATGCACTGGAGTCAGTCAGTCAGTACATCAAAATTTTCCCTGGGTAGACACAGCACAAGAGTCCCAAAGAAAACACAAGCCATTTGCTTGGGCCCTGAATCTCGTGTTCCATTTCACTTGGTGAAAAACCAAGTGGAAGTTTTCAGATGTGGAGCCCACATTTCACTTCTTGGGATGGTGATCAGTGGCTGGGCAGCAACCTCAGTGTTTGAAAGCAGCTGGGGAGGTGCCTCAAAGAGCTGCCTGGCTCTAAGGAAAAGAAGGAGAGACTGTGCCTTTACTTCCATAATCTGGCTCACTCTCTGTTTTTCTCTTTTTCTTCCCCTTTTCCTCTCCCTACCTCTTTCTTTCTGCCTTTCCTTTTTCTCTCATCCTTTCCTGTCTTTTACTTTTATCTCCCTCTTTGCTTTCTTTTTGCCTCTCTCTTCTATATTCCTCTCCCTCCTTCCTCCTCGTTTCTTATGGCTTTCTTCATCTATCTTTTAATTTTGGCAAAAACAAGATCACAGCTATCATGAAAATATATATAAATGACAGTAAGATGAAACAGCATAGTTCACCTTTTTCACTTGCTTATCTTTAGCCTTGGAGTTGTTCCTGGTGTGTATAATTAAATGCCCAAGATAATCCCCAACCCCTTAGGGCTACATGTTTGCATTTAATGACTGTGACTTGGAGCTTGATCCATTAAGGACTGTGTCCTATTTTCATATGACACATGAACTATGAACAATATTTTACATATTTAACAAGTGTTCAAAAAGATGATGATGATGATGATGATAAAGAAGAATAAGAATATCATGCAATTGAGACCATATGTGACCCACAAACCCTTAAATATTTATTATCTAGACCTTTACAGAGAAGGTTTGTCACCCCTGACTTAGAGACCAAGCAGAGTGGTTAGGTTTGGAAAAGTTCCAAACAAACAAAGCAGAAACAGGTATCAAGTTAAGACATTGCTGGTCCATAGGGTAGTCTCAGACAGGCTGTGGGTTTTTCCCTGGTAGGGCTGTGGTTTTGTGGGAGACATTTTAGAAACCTTCAGAAAATGTTCAAAAAGCTTGTTACCACAAAGAGATAATAAAGAAACGTTCTTTTGAAAAAAAAATCCCTAAATCCACAGCACATATGAAAATCTTGCCCTGACTTGTTCAGGCAAATTTAGCTACTGAATGGCAAGGATCCCTTTAAAAGACTCCTTTTTCCACATAGAAATGTAAACTATCCCTTAAATAAAAGGTCACCAAGTCATTTCTTTGCAAATTCTGGTTTGAAATAACTTTTGATGACAGAATAGACCAAAGAAGTCTGTGTCTGATAGTCTTTGGTTTCTCTAGACAAGTCTGTGAAACCACTGAAGATTTTCAGACATGACAATTTAATTAGATAAATAAAATATCCCCTTTAATATAGTGTTGTTGGGGTGATTAATTTGGTATAAATTAAATCTTCACATTGTAAGTACAAATACAAAGAAACTTTTACTTCTGTCTGTGCTGAAATTGACAGAGTTGGGAAAATATTCTTGAAGAAAATACATTTTCAAGAGGCCATATTAGGGATGTGGACTTATTAGGAAAATGAAGAGAAATCATGCCAGTAGCAACAGTACTGATGGGAAATAAGAAAACTGGCTACCTAAAGCCTTATTAAAATCAAAGCAAATTTGATTTTAAAATCTCTTTCAGGAGCAGTTGTATATTCGTGAATTTCTATGGAGTCTAGCTGCTGCCTATTGACCACATGATCTCTCAAATTAATAAATTACTTTCTTATAAATTATTTGTGGGTTAACACTTCCACTTATATCAGGGCTATGTATTATCAAGAGTGTATAGCATACTTTATATAAATAAGTTAAAAGATGAATATTTAGTTTCTAGACAAAGGCATAATATATTACTTTAATAGATTCAAATATAGTAGTTTGATATACTTAAACTCGTAGATATGTACTGAAGCTGTTATGTAAAAAATACACATCACTGCTACAAGACAGAATTCATCAAGGCAGATGAAACTACTAATTTTGGGGAAACATTAGCTAATTGATAGCTATCAGTAATGATGATTATAAAACCTACAGGGTGATATATTGATTTAA